ATAACGAGACAGACACCATCCTCCTTACTAAGGAAACAAGTGCTCCTAGTTTTGGCATTTCATCACAGTGGCTTACAATTTACACGACGAGGCAGAAGGGCGCTAAAGGTGAAATCCAAAACCCGAGCGACTAATGGGGCAAAATTATGCGTTTTAAACGCATTAAAGGATAGCCCCAGTCCCCATTCCAATGTCGGGGTGCTGGAAGTCGTCTGGACACTTAGTGACTGTAGACGTCTATTTGGCAGTAGAAGGGATGACATTGCCAACGAGGCATGAATCACATAAGGCCCAAACACCGTGACAATCAGGGGAGCTGCCAACGAAGTAACAACGACAGATAAGCCTCATTGGGTCAATGTAACCTAAACTTGCCTTCACGATCAAGACAAGCAAAGCAAGGCGGATCAATGTTTGTTTCACTGCGTCATTTGACAGTTAAGCTTACTTGGTTCCTTTGGTTAAGACTTCCCAGTGCCTCTAGAATGAACTGCATAATTTCTGTGACCTCTTCAATGCAAGCCCGAGGGCTAATTCTAACGGGGCAATGACCGCCTGATAATTTTACACATCATGTTCTTCCCCCTCTTCTGCGTCAAGCTAGTGAGGATCAGTCGCTGAAATATGCAATCTATTAAGTAAGGGCAAACATTATCCTTTTAAAAATTGCGTGAAATGCATTACTAATTTATATCTGATGACATGAGATATGAGGTAAACATGATTGCATCGTTGTATTCCAGATTCTTAAACTCAGGACGCAAAGAGAATACTGATATGGGAGTTAAAGCAATTCTAACGGAATTGTGCCTTTATTTCACTTATCTGGGTTGTAATGTTACCGTAATTTTGTAAAGGTGAACAGAAAACTTGCAGCCGAGGGGGCAACGATATGTGGGTTGCAGGTGTCACGTGGTAATTTAAATTGTGTAGCGAAAATCTATTTAAGCAACAGTGGTGAAATGAACAAGCGAAATGCAAGAATTATGCATAAATTAATGTTAACCGCCGTACTAACTCTATACAACATAGTGAAACAATTCTTCATAGCATATTCTAAATCCGAACATAAGCTGCATGCTAATTTGATCAATTAAAATATAATTACTACTTAATGGTATCAGTAGCACGTAATTAACTCAGCGTGAAATGGTTCGCACCTGTATCTCCAGAAGGGCTTTTGTTTAGACGCTTTAACTAGTAAAGGAAATTCGCTAAGCATGCCGCAATTAAAAATGAAGTTTTCTTAATTTACTTATTTTTATATCATATATTTCAGCGAAAATTTAAACCTAAATAAAATGGTATCAATCTATATTCACTTATGGCTGAAATTTCCAACTATCTATTGGGCGTTTCCATACATAATGTTTTTTTTTAGCAAAATAAAATGAGAAATAAAAAGGCATTAACGGAATGAGGTTTTTTTACCCTAGATCTACTTCTTAAATAGTACTTTTTAAGACAAAACCTAACACAAAATGACCTAAAAATTTACTTGGTTTACATCACGGCCCTTTATGGTTGTTTGTGCGGACTTGCAAAGGACCTGTGATTGCTTATTTATGTATGTGCGTATGTGCATGTGCATGTGCATTAGAAAGTGTAGCTAAGTGTCAACCTGCCGTTTTCCCTTTATTTCGATTGAGGGTAATTTTCTCGGTTACCCGAAGTCGGCTGAACGAACGTGACAGGAGGCAAGCTCGTCTGCTTTAGGAATTCCAAGGCTGTAAACTTTTCATAGTGCTTTATGTAGCAATAAGAACTTTTAAAAAGACTGGTTTGGGTGATAAATAACTCTGGGACGGGTGTGTTAAGGTGGGGAAGGCGCGCTCTCTCCTTTCCCTCTTATGAATAATGCATCACCATTGACACGTGTCCTAACCGACTTTTCGTTGTGGCCGACGTGAGAGACAAAACCACTACTTTAAACCCCTCCCCAACGCAAAGGAAGAGGATTTGACAACCTTGCCCCTCTTATCCCTTTCCTTGGGCGACATTTCACCAGGTGATGCTTTTCACGCCCTCCTGGCATTTGACAACCATTCGCCCGTATATTATGCAAAATGAAGGCTTGAATGGTGTAGATGAAACGGGTTTTTTATTTGGAAGTGATAAAATGGGGACTCTCAGCTACTTTGCATCACTACGGGATGGAACGGGAGCACTGTGTGGCATAATTCTCCTCCAAATATAATTTTATGGTTTTTTGGCTGATGGAGAAAGCATTGCAATTATCTTGATTTTATCTGCACTCTACTAAATTTGACGATAAATATGTAGTTTCATAGAATTTGTTAGAATGAGAAGAATTACAATGGTGCTATGGGAGGTGTGCGACTTCTGATTTCCCATTTTTTACCGGAAAAAGGAAGATACTACTTAAAAGTTTTTGAGCCTCCTCTAATTTATGGGCGTTCCTTCTGAGGGATTGAACTTACCTTCAGAAGTAGAAAATAGCGTATATTATCAACGTAGGCAGGAGCTAAGAGCTTCTCGGTAAAGCCGGAAGGCCTGTTTCTTCCGGGTGGCAATACAAGCAGCCAAGGTTGGGGAGGTGCCCGCGTAGCCGAATACGCAACAGCCGTTGTAGACAGCGGACCTCAACAATCCCCTGTGAATTAGCCACCTTTTTGCTCCAGTCTTTAAGAGCACACAAAATGTCTCCCTTTACTCTGTTTTATTTTGCCGTCAACTTTAAACAAGTCTTTTTTGGTGGGGGGAAGGGAAAAATTAACTCTTGAATGGGGAACTAAGTCCATCGGAAGTATTTACCCAGCGTATTAAAATTTATTACTACCCTGAATTAATTTACTACCGTGGATTAATAAAAAATACTAGCTCTCCCTTTCGATCGAGAGGGCTAACCTACGAGGCATATTGCTGTATTAGCGATGCAAACAACCCAGGCAATCAAGGTGGAAGTGGAGGTGGGAGGGAATAAGGAAGGCTGAGCTGTGTCAACCCAATCACGAGGTAAGCAGTCGCCTTGTCACCTAGGTGGTGGGGGGTAAAGTAAACGCTTTTTGCAGTCCTATATCGAAGTTAATTAAAGCAACGATCTGAATAAGCACTTTCTTTTCGTATAAAAGTTAATTTAAAGTTTCTTAACAATTATTTGTGACAGTTATTGCTCATGTCATAGCATACCACAGCACATCCAAGTAACCAAATTGTCGTCACACTTTAGTCTTCCCTCAAAACAAGGTTATAACTTATGACCCGGTGTTGCAAATTTTTTACCATAACATCTGCTAGTGTCACACATGTGTGACACTGATTGCCTCATCTGATCCCGGCGTCACAAATACGTGACATTGGTTTACTGTAAGTTTCGTACTTACTCTTTTGTCTGCCCTATTCGCAACTCGAATGGTTGACTGAAAATCTAAAAGTGGAGAATAAAATGTGCATAATTACACTAGCTTTATTTGTGGGGCAGCATTTGAGCAGATCATTTCGAAGGTGTAAGCGTGATGGTTGATTGCCTTCTCGAACAGACACCCAGGAGTGAAGGACTTATGGCTCGGTGCGACTTGAAAATTTTAAGGTGTCTCCTCCCTGGGACTAAATAGAATCCCTAATTAAGCTAAATCTTAAGCTTCCTTACATGAAATGTTTGACCACTCCCAGCTCTTTTTGGGGAGGAAAGTGAGGAAATTTTTTCTTAGCGTAGAGATGGTAAAACAAGACACATTTATTTCCATGAAGAGAGGGTTTGCAGCTCTGGTCCTGTATTTATTTTTCAAGCGAGCATCTAATTCTTCTACAATAATGTGCTGCCTATTTTAACAAATTTAGTGATTCACAAGCAGTATCACATATATGACACGCGTCTTTATTCCATTTCTGATGGCTGTGTGCAGCGGAGAGGTCGAGTTTAGCCTTCAGCATTTATGCAACGCCTTTGAAAATTGCAACAGCGGAAGGCAGTGGAGTGATGATTGACCATTTGAAAGGATGTCACGTGACTGCAATAATCTCCCGCGCGTTTGTAACACCGCATTACTTGCAATCAAGTTGAAAAGGGACATTTTAGACAATGACAACTTTCGCCGGGAGGTGCATTCTCTGAAGCGCAGGCAGTAAAGGGGAAGAATAACAATGGAGGGGACAACAGAAAAGCTGACTACGTCCTGATTTAGAACATCCAGTGGAGCCTCATGCGGCAAAGAAAGGGGCATTGCAATTGCGGAGTCTGCCACCTCTCTACAGTAACGAACGCTTAGTTCCCGATTTAGGGAAGAAATAAATTAATCACATTGTGGATAAATGGGGGGGGGGGGGGCAAGATGCCGGAGTCAGCTCTCGGTCACGTGTAGAGTGAAAGAAAACCGATTTACAGCTGGGTCAACTAAGAACTTGGTGTGAGAAGCAAGCGTTTGTGACAGGTATTAAGAGTTGGACATGCGCCTCAATGCCAGTCACTTTGTTTACCACCACTTATATGCGCACGCTTGATAAACACGAGAGCTTTTTGAAGTGTGTTTACTAACTAGTGATGAGAGATCCCTTCTGTATTCCACCATTCCTCAAGTGAATCAGCATGACAGCGGTCCGCCTGTCACGTCAAACCCACCACCCTTGATCACTCCATTGCCAGAAGGCCACGCCTTGCGTGTGTGGGCGCACGGCAATTGTAAATATAGAAAAGAGACGTGGTAAGGGACAGCCTTGTCGTTTCAAGAGACTGGAACTTTCTAACAAGTGGAATTCACGTGTGGATGATTAAGTAGTTATTGTAACAAAATTAAATTAGTTAACTAACTAAAACAAGAATCCAGCAAACTTACCTAATCGCATTAGGACATGAAAATAAAATGAAATTTTAATTGTGTTTGACTAGTTCATATTTTGCTTCCTTTATCGGGACGGGTGCAATATCTTAGTAGTAATCAGATATTTTCCTACACTTGAAGGTAAAGTAATCACTTTTGTGAAAGAATTTTTTGTTGAGACTACGAAATTAGCTTAAATTTTATGTTCTTCAGCAAGAAAAAATGAAAAGCACAATCTGTAAGCAAAATTATCAAGCAAAAGTTGACTTCAATGCAGTTATCCCAGAATTTAAGCAAATATTCAACCTAAATTTGAAAATATTTAAGCTAATAAGAAAACCACAATCAGGTCCAGGGTTCCTCATCAACTCCCACAGAGGAGGTCAGATTTCTCCTGATAAAAAGACTTAAAAAGCCTCTTAAGGTCAAGGAATAAACGAAACTCTTTTGAGGTTTAAAAGAAACTAGGTCACACGGATACAAATGTGCATATACATATTTAAGAAGGCATGTAGATTTTGAGGGAAATTTATTTGCCTTTATTCAGCAATTGTATAAAAATCCATGAGAATTAAAAAGACCCCAAAAGGGACTTTAAAAAATAAGTACCAAAAAAGTCAGGCAAGCAAATAAATTTTGTTGTTTTCTTGCAATATTATAAACTATAAAAAGTTAATCACCACCTTAGTTTAATCTAACTAGCAATTTCAGATGTTACCTTCGGATTGCCGAAAGTGAAAGTGAAAGAAAACTCCTAATGGAATGTAAATCAAGACCTTTACGAAGCGTAAGGTTTTACATAAGGATTGCTTTCTACCATCTCAACTTAAGGGTAAATATTCTCAAGGGTCAGATTTACATCATAAGGTCATGCGTAGGCACTCGATATTTGCTGAGTGGTCAAAAATCCGACAGAGTGACTGCTACCTACGCTTTAAACGATGTCCTTTCACGAGTTCTTGTTGCAATGTAAATCCTATAACTGTTGAAGCTTTTCCGCTTTCCTCCTATTCATAGATGCGTAAATATTATTTTTTGGATGCTTCATTTGCTGACATTAAGGCGGGTTATCAGCTTCTTTTTCAAATGATGAAGGGCACATATATAAAATGAATGCTTGACGAAAACCCTTTTTAAAGCAAAGCGATCATTGCGCACCCCTAAAGGCAAAGTGAAAGAGCCAATTTTATGGCAGTAATTAACTGACGCCCAGGCAAGGACTTAAAAGGCAAACTTTATGGCAGGCAGCTCGGACAATCTACAACTGATCGAAATCTTGAATCGGATAGAAATTCGCATTTACCACAAAGTATTAAATCATAAAATGCTTATATAAAGCATTCTTTAGCTGAGGTCTGTCTCGGATAAAAATTGTGTCGCCACCCTCCAGACGAATCATTATTCTGGTAATTTTTCAGTCAGTTAAACCGTCAACCAAGAATTAAAACAACGTATTGTTTAACTTGAATTTAACCATTTTATTTGGGCACGATTTCGCTCACCCAATTACTATATTAATGACTAGGGACCCACACATCACATGTGTGCAGCTGAAAATGTCGGTTCCTCGCAATCATCCTCGACCGTGTCCGCTTAACTAAGCGGACCTTTTGCAGTCCCTGTGGTTTCAACCACAATTTTTGGTTCCATTGAGCCGAAGTTATGTTAATTTGTTTAAAGTTATTCAACAACACCTCCAGAGAGGAAGGGAGCCCCACGGGAGGAATAAGTGGCCTTCAAAATGGGGTCAAATTTGCTCATTTTTCTTCCACATTTTGTGTACTTAAAGTTGGTGGGTAAAAAAGGGGATACGAAATTTTCGCTCGCTCTAGTTCTTAGGTTGTCTTTTCTTCGATCTTCGTTGTTAAAAAACTTCACACAACTTTTAAGTGAACGAAACCAAATCACCAACGTGTCTCGTCCAAATCACACGAAACGTTAATGATGCAGCGTTTGTTATCTGGCCGATTTGATTGAAAGCACTTGTCCGGTGGGAATTTCCTTACAGCCATCCCGGATTCCGAAAGGAAATCCTCCTCCTCCTCCTCCTCCTCCTCCT